GACTTGAACTCAGACCTGGAATAAGCAAACCTGATAGACATTTACAGAACTCTCCACCCCAAATCCACAGAATATACATTCTTCTCAGCACCACATCACACCTACTCTAAAATTGACCACATAATTGGAAGTAAAGCACTGCTCAGCAAATGCAAAACAACTGAAATCATAACAAACAGTCTTTCAGACCATAGTGCAATCAAGGTAGAACTCAGAATTCAGAAACTAACTCAGAACCGCACAGCTTCATGGAAACTGAACAACTGGTTCTTGAATGTTGATTGGATAAACAATGAAATGAAGGCAGAAATAAAGAAGTTCTTCGAAACCAACGAGAACGAAGACACAACACACCAGAATCTCTGGGACACATTTAAAGCAGTCTCCAGAGGAAAATATATAGCAATAAGTGCCCACACGAGAACAGTGAAGAGATTCAAAATTGACACCCTATCATGAAAATTGAAAGAGCTAGAGGAGCAAGATCAAAAACACTCAAAACCTAGCAGAAGACAAGAAATAACTAAGATCAGAGCAGAACTGAAGGAGATAGAGACATGAAAAACCCTTCGAAAAATCAATAAATCCAAGAGGTAGTTTTTTGAAAAGATCAACAAAATAGACCACTAGCCAGACTGATAAAAAAGAAAAGAGAGAACAACCAAACAGATGCAATAAAAAAATGATAAAGGGGAAATCACCACAGATTCCACAGAAATTCAAACCATCATCAGAGAATATTACAAACAACTCCATGCACATAAACTAGTAAACCTGGAAGAAATGGATAAATTCCTAGACTCCTGTGTCCTCCCAAGCCTAAACCAGGAGGAAGCTGAAACTATGAATAGACCAATAGCAAGGTCTGAAGTCGAGGCAGCAATTAAGAGCCTACCACACAAAAAAAGCCCAGGTCCAAATGGGTTCACAGCCGAATTCTACCAGACACACAAAGAGGAGCTGGTACCATTCCTTCTGAAACTATTCCAAATAATCCAAAAAGAGGGAATCCTTCCCAAATCATTTTATGAGACCAACATCATCCTGATACCAAAACCCGGCAGAGACTCAACAAGAAAAGAAAACTTCAGGCCAATATCCATGATGAACATAGATGCAAAAATCTTCAATAAAATACTGGCAAATCGATTGCAACAGCACATCAAAAAACTTATCCATCATGATCAAGTAGAATTCATCCTGGGGATGCAAGGCTGTTTCAACATACGTAAGTCTATAAACGTAATTCACCACATAAACAGAACCAAAAACAAAAACCACATGGTTATCTCAATTGACGCAGAGAAGGCATTTGACAAAATTCAACAGTCCTTTATGCTAAAAACCCTCAATAAACTCGGTATCGATGGAACGTATCTCAAAGTAATAAAAGCTATTTACGACAAACCAACAGCCAACATTATACTGAATGGGCAATAACTGGAAGCATTCCCTTTGAAATCTGGCACTAGACAAGGATGCCCTCTCTCACCACTCCTATTCAATTTAGTACTGGAAGTTCTAGCCAGAGCAATCAGGCAAGAAAAAGAAATAAAGGGTATTCAAATAGGAAAGGTGGAAGCCAAACTGTCTCTATTTGCAGACGACATGAGAGTATACCTAGAAGACCCCATCGCCTCAGCCCAAAAACTCCTGAAACTGATAAGCAACTTCAGCAAAGTCTCAGGATATAAAATCAATGTGTTGTTTGTAGGGACATGGATGAATCTGGAGAACATCATTCTCAGCAAACTGACACAAGAACAGAAAATGAAATACCGCATATTCTCACTCATAGGCGGGTGAGGAAAAATGAAAACACATGGACACAGGGAAGGGAGTACTACACACTGGGGTCTTTTGGGGGGAATAGGGGAGGGACAGCGGCGGGGGGGGAGCTGGGGAGGGATAGCCTGGGGAGAAACGCCAAATGTGGGTGAAGGGGAGGAAGGCAGCAAAACACACTGCCACGTGTATACCTATGCAACTATCTTGCATGTTCTGCACGTGTACCCCAAAACCTAAAATGCAATTAAAAAAAAAGATATAGTCTCACCCCAGTTTAAATGGCTTTTATCCACAGACAAGCAGTAACGCATACTAGAGAGGCTATGGAAAACAGAAAACCTTGTATACTGTTGGTGGAAATGTAAATTAGTACAACCAGTATGAAGAACAGTTTTGAGGTTTGTCAAAAGACAAAAATAGAGCTACTATATGATCCAGCAATCCCACTGCTGAGTACATATCCAAAAGAAAGGGAATTGCTGTTTCAAAATGACATCTGCACTTCCATGTTTGTTGCAGTGCTGTTCACAACAGCCAAGATTTGGAAGCAATCTACATGTCCATCAACAGATGACTGGATAAAGAAAATGTGGTACATACACAGAACGGAGTACTATTCAGCCATAAAAAAGTATGAGATCCTGTCATTTGCAACAATATAAATGGAACTGGAGGTCATTATGTTAAGTGAAATAAGCCAGGCACAGAAAGACAAATTTAGCATGTTCTCACTTATTTGTGAAAGCTAAAAATTAAAACAATTGAACTCATAGATATAGTTAGATGGAAGGTCACCAGAGGTTGTGAAAGGTAGTGAGGGGGTGGGAGAGGACATGGGTATGGTTAATGGGTAGAAAAAAAATAAAGAGAATAAATAGGAACTGTTTGTTTGTTTTCTTTCTGAGATAGAGTCTCACCCTGTCACCCAGGCTAGAATGCAGTGGCACAATCTTGGCTCACTGCAACCTCAGCCTCCCAGGTTCAAGTGAGTCTCCTGCCTCAGACTCCCAAGTAGCTGGGATTACAGGCACATACTACCAGGCCCAGCTATTTTTTTTGTATTTTTAGTAGAGCCGGGGTTTCATCATGTTAGCCAGGCTTGTCTCAAACTCCTGACCTCAAGTGATCTGCCCACCTCAGCCTCCCAAAGAGCTGGGATTACAGGCGTGAGCCACCATATCCGGCCAAGAACTACTATTTGATAGAACAACTAGGTGACTATAATTAAAAACAATTTAATTATACATTTGAAAATAACTAAAAGAATATAATTGGATTCTTTGTAACACAAAGAATAGATCTTGAGGTAGTGGATATACCATCTACCTTAATGTGATTATTAGGCATTGCATGCCTGTATCAAAATATCTCACATAGCCCATAGTATATTCCCCTACTATGTACTCAGAAAAAATAATTAAAAAGAACTTCTCTATCTTAAATACATATAATTTTTCTTTTTTAACTATACCTCAGTAAAGCTAGAAAATACTATTAGTCAATATCCTTTATGAGCACTAATGCAAGAATCCTTGACAAAACACTAGCAAACTGAATTCAGTAGTATATTAAAAGATGGGCTGGGCCCAGTGGCTCATACTTGTAATGCCAGCATTTCGGGGAGCCAAGGCAGGCAGATCACTTGAGGCCAGGAGTTCAAGACCAGCCTGCCCAACATGGAGAAACCCCGTCTCTACAAAAAATACAATAATTAGCCAGGCGTGGTGGTGCACACCTGCATCCTCACCTACTCAGGATGCTGAGGCACGAGAATCGCTTGAACCCAGGAGAAGGAGGCTGCAGTGAGCCAAGATTGCATCACTGCACTACAGCCTGGGTGACAAAGAGAGACTGTCTCAAGAAAAAATAATAATAATTCAGCATTCTAGGAACAGAAGAACATTACCTCAACATAATAAAATCTGTTCATGAAAAATTATGATGAAATTATTGGAAAATGCAAAACCCATTAACAGAGTAGTACTATTTTAAACACGTTAACTTCACTAACATTAAAAGTAAAGATTTTGAGGTAAATTTAAAGAGACATAATTCTAGTTCTTTATAACCCAATAAGAGATAAGAAATAAATGTCTACATCATGTATAATTTTTATATTATAAGACACAATATTGTCTATCTCCTCAAACTTCAATTTTAGCATTTAAAACAATTGTTTAATAAATTTGTTATATCAAAGGGAGTTTTAGGTTGTTTTACATCCTGTTCGCTTCATGCATAGAGGTTGTAGGACTTTAAGAAAATAAAGAACTAAAGAAAATTTAGCCTTAAGATATTAAATTATGTATCATTTAAATAGTAACTTTACCTTGGAGCCTTGAGGTTCACATGTAAAATACTCTGCAACATCTTCAAGATTTTGGTTTTGGTTTTGAAGATACATGTAGTATTTATTATTTGTTTCATCTTTCTTGTTTTTATTCTTGGGGTCTTTTTAATTACTTGGTCTCAACATACCCATTTTTTTTCACATTATATTCTTTCCACTATTTTGTTAGGCAACAACAGTTTCTGGATCAGCCTTTCATTCAATAGTTTACATTTAAAAATGAGACCAAGAAATGATTTGCTCCATCTAGCAACATGTGTGCCTGCACTTTTCAAGTATACAAATACCCACTTGCTCCCATGAGAGAGACTATAACCATTTCTCCATCCCTCACAAAAGCCAGGATCCCAGGTTCATTTCCAGAATGGATATATATGATATGACTGTTGAACCACTGGGCCAGATTTACATTATACCTTTCAACAAAATATATTTCATGGCTCATGGCTCATAAATGTAGTTTCACTGTAGACAGAGCACAATGAGTAAATCTACCCTTTTTCATGGCAAGGAGCCCAACTCATATTTTTACTGGCTTACTACTGACTAAATTAAGCCCCAATTTCTTTAAAAAAGGAAAAAAAACACTCATGGCTGAAAATAAACAGTCATTTCAATATGGCTGCCAAGGACAGACTTAAAAATGAACTAATACATTCCAGGCTCAATCTCAAGAGACATAACAAGTCCACAGAAAAAATTAATGTGCTAAATAAAACAACTTAGTATTAAGTACTGTTCATTTTTCACAAAAGAGTAAAGTTCTATAAACGGAAAATCTAAGACTGTTAATATGTCAGTAAAGAAGAGCAACAAGCCCCACATATCAGCTCCTTGATGTAAAGTTCTTTAGGACACATACCCAAGTCTTCCTAGCATCTCAGGCTCAGGAACATGTGGTCCATATGTCTCTATCTGCAGTGGCTGGTATTCATACAGAGCTTCTTCAACCTTGTGAATAGGTGCCAGTGAAATATGTTGACCCTGTTAGAAAAATGAAGGAAATTAATACCTTTTAATATTACCTTCATATTGCTATTTATAATCATTTTAAAGATGAATTAAATTCCTCACATTAGAAGTATTACCCATTACTTGTGCTGTTCCAATGGTACAATGCATTGCATAACTGAAACCCACATAACTTAATTAATATATAGTCATTTATACATGATTTAAAAGAGGAAAACCAAATCCATCATTAAATTCAAATTTAGCATTAAACAGTACAGTTGTTCAATGACAGTGGTAGAAGTCATCAAATACAAGAGGACTTCAAAAAGTTTATGCAAAATACATATCATTTAAAAACTAAGCATGGATTTTTAAAATGTTTGAACCAAAATAAACTTGTACTAACATGTTATAATATGTCTGAACAGCACCTAGTTTGAGGCACAAAGAAGTGTAAGACCATTTGAAAAAAGCTCCTATCAGACCAATGTGAATTCTGCTCAACTGAAACAAGAACAAACATTTATGGTGAAGATTGGATAGAAGAATGGCAAAATCACTGAAGCTTTACAAAAAGTCAATGGGGACAATTCCACAAAGAAATCAGCAGTTTACAAACGGATAACTCATTTTGAGAAGGAACAAGAGATTGTTGAAGATGAAGCCCTCAGTGGCAGACCATCTACAACAATTTGTGAGGGAAAAAAGTAACCTTGTTCATGCCCTAATTGAAAAGGACTGATGATTAACAGCAGAAACAACAGGCAACACCATAGACACCTCAACTGATTCAGCTTACACAATTCTGACTGAAAAATTAAAGTTGGGCAAACTTTCCACTCAATGGGTGCCAAAACTGTTGCACCCAGATCAGTAGCAGATGAAAGCAAGGCATTCGGTGGAAATTTTAAACAAGTGTGATCAAGATCCTGAAGCCTTTCTTCAAAGAACAGGAGATGAAATATGCCTTTACCAGTACTGAAGACAAAGCACAATCAAAGCAGTGGCTACCAAGAGGTGGCAGTGGTCCAGTCATAGCAAAAGTGGACTGGACACAAGTGAAGGTCACGGTAACAATTCAAAAAACTCCCAGTTCAAAATGCTCATGGCACTTTGCTTATTGAGTTTCTGGAGGGCCAAAATACAATACCATCTGCTTATTATTATGAGAGTGTTTTGAGAAAGTTAGCAAAAGTTTTAACAGAAAAATACCTAGGAAACCTTCACCAGAGTCCTTTCCCCACCACAACAATAATCTTGCTCATGAAACCTCATCAAACAAGGGTAATGGGAAATCATTAGGTGTCCACCTTACAGTCCTGATTTGGCTCCTTGTTACTTCTTTTTGTTTCCTAACCTCAAAAAATTTGTAAAGGGAACCCATTTTTCTTCAGTAATAATATAAAAAAGATTTCACTAATACAGTTAAATTCCCAGGACCCTCAGTCATTTAGAGATGAACTAAATTCCTGGAATCATTGCTTACGAAAGTGTCTGGTTCTTGAGGGAGCTTATGTTGATAAATAAAGTTTATATTTTTTGTATTTATCTTTTAATTCCATTTTCCATGAACTTTTTGAAGTCCCCTTTTATATAAACATAGTCTAACCTCACATTTTTCTATTTTTATTAAACAACTGACATTTTTTACAATCTGTGTTTTTTTTTAAGCTCTAATTAGGGAAGAAAGCTAATGAAATTATTCTCTACAAAGCTATGCCACGTAAATGTCTATTCTCTGAAGTCTTTACATGAAATCAAACTAACTTACCAAATATGTATTTATTTCACATCACATACACACATACAAACAAAATAAGAAAATTTTACGCTGAAAACTAAATGGATAAAAACATCCATTGTATTTTTCTGAGAAGAAAGAACTGCTGGGTAACTAAAATACAAAGACCCTATAGATCATATTTGAGCATAAGTATGTAAAATAAAGTGCCACTCAGCTATATACCATTACAATGAGATTTACATATCTATCATCTATGTGGCATAGAATTCAAATTTATAAAAATCCCTACTTTTTATATAGTCTATGTTTTCTGATTTTAACCCTCATTCTCTTATTTTTCTTGGTATAGTTCACATCTATTTCTATGTTTCATGACTTTTTGTAAAGCATTCCTGCAGTTATTCTTCCAATTTCTAGTTTATAAATGTTTTTGTTGTTATGTCATTTAGTTTCCTTTTTCCCTTAAATTACTAAGTTGGATGCAAAGTACACATTATCTCTTTTATGGAAAAAAAAAAAAAGGTAAAAGGCATGACATAAAAGTGATAAAATACAATTGTAGCAGTGAGAAACAACCATCAAAGATGCTTGCACCTAAATTACAGTTTTTCTCTTCAACAAGTTCAATACCATGTAGCATCATCCTAGCTAGTTTATAGGCATATTATAATAGGCACCTCTGACACTGTAATGTCAATAGCACTTAACCAAAAACAGGCGAAGGACTTGAACAGAGATTTCACCACAGAAGATATACATATTGCCAATAGGTATATGAAAAGATGCTCAATATCATAAGGGCAATGCAAATCAAGCCATGGTGAGATACCACTTCACACACATGGCTATTTAAGATGGCTATTATTAAAAAGAAAAACAGAAAATGCTAAGTGTTTGTGAAGATGAAGACAGAAACTCTTGTGCATTGCTGGTGGAAATGTACAGTTACTGTGGAAAATGGATGGCAAATCCTTAAAAAATTAAAAACAGAATTACCATATGATCCAGCAATTGGACTTCTAGGTATATACCTGAAAGTGAAAGCGGGGTTTCAAAGAAATAAGTGTACACCAATGCATATTTACAGCAGCATTATTTACAGTAGCCAGAAGTTGGAAGCAACCCAGTGCCCATGAAGGAATAAATGAATAAATAATATGTGGAGGATGTGTGTGTGTGTGTGTGTGTGTGTGTGTGTACACACACACATTGATACAATAAACTATTATTTAGCCTTTGAAAGGAAGAAAATTTTGACATGTGACAACATGGATGAACCTAAAGATATTACGATAAATGAAATAAGATATTCATAAAAGGACAAAAATTATATGACTCCACTAATAGAAGGTTCCAAAGCAGTCAAATTCATGGAGACATAAAGTAAATCAGTGGTTACCACAGGCTAGGAACATGGGAAAGAGCAGTTAGTGTTTCATGGGTACAGGTTCAGCTGAGGAAGATGAGAAATTTTGAAAATGAATGGTGGTGATAGATGCACAACAATATGGGTGTACTTAATGTCACAGAAATGTACAGTTAAAATTATTAAACTGTGAAATTTTTATATTACATGTATTTTACTGCAATTTTTTAAAATGAGTTTTGGATAACCTAATTTTCTCATTTGCTTTGCTAGAGTAATATGCAGGAAACAGAGAAAAAAAGTGTAATGTCAGAAACTTCATTCATATTATTTTAACCCCGAACCTCCATGTTCCACAGCCTTTCTAAAAAAAAACATGAAACTGTCAAGCTAAATCTTATACTATCACAGAATAATCCAATTTCAGACCAATGATTCAGAGAGCATTCTATAGGTTAAGAAGAGAGTGCCTGAGTGGGATATTTTGAAACTCGTTCTGACATCCCTATTTCAAAGTGTCTTCTTCATAAATTGTCAGACACTAAATTCTCCTACCATATGATACAAAATGTTCAGTATTGGTGTCACATGTTTTAGCTATGGGGTAAAAGGGAGGGGAGAAGAGTAAAAGAGAGGAGGGTAAGTGAGGGAAAGGAAAAATACTGAAACAATTAAAGAAGTACACTTATAGTCTCACCAGCACTCCATGGCATTTAAGAAATTACAGAGCAAGGTCCAGAAAGGTTGACACAGAATGGATATTTTCAATAATTGGAATACCTTCCAAGGAAGATAATATTCAAGAAAGATAAGCTTTCTTAAGTAGTTGCACTGGAAAACATACTAAAACTAATCATTCTCTAAATATTGGCAACAATATTTACTAAAACCCAAATTACTGAAGTTATGATAGCTTATAATTCAGTCTTCTTTGAAGTTCGTGGGGACATTTACAACAGCCAAAAAGATCAGTGAATAAGAATAGTTAATATTATTTATTCTGTGCTACGCACTATGCTAAAGGGTTTTGTATGCATCATCTCAGCATCCACAATAATTTAATGAAATCAGTACTATTAATCACACTTTATGAATGAGGAAACGGGGGTTAGATAAGTGACTGAGCAAGATCATATTATAATGGCAGTTTGATGATTAAAAGCCAAGTCTGTCAGATTCTAAAGCCTATGCCTTTTTCCCCCCAACACCTTCATTTTATGGATATGGAAGCTAATATTCTCAAAATGTAAATTTTTCTAAGGTCACATAGAATTAGGTCTCTCAATTCCTGCCCAGTGTAGGTTCCACACACTGCCTTTTAATATCTTATTTTTAAAATAATATAATCATGGTTGTCCAATTTAAAGGTTTTAATGGCAGTAAGTAAATACTATGTGGTTTAAACCAATTTTTTATATAAATTATAATAGCTGAGATACTTAAAACACCATAGGCTCAAAAAGAAGTATTTTCTAAAACTTATAACATTTAGAGAGAAATAAACATTACTCAGTGGTAGTTCTGTTTGCCATGAGAATAAGACAAAGTTCATAAATGACACACAAACTGCCCTCTAACATTCCAACTATCTTTCCCTCAGAAAAAACTCATATGAGACAGATGCCAAGGTTCTCAAACCTAAAGCTGGGGCAGAACTTAAAGAACAATGACTTACACTCACGGACATGTTTTTATATTTTTTTAAATCACCAAGAGAGCAGATAATGGCTTAACAGGTCACATGAGAAAAGTATTAGGGTTTTAAGTGACTGCGGGGGGGGGGGGGGGGGGAAGGGTGTTTAAAAGTTTTTTAGATGAAAAATGGTTACTGGTGATATTTCCACCCAAACAGTAAAGGTGGTAGATATTATTCTAAATTATCAGAAAAAGGAAGATTCAAACTAAAAAACTCAAAGTGTA